TCGCGAATGTAAGATGGTCGGATTTCTTTATCTCCATTCAAGGAAACTGGTGTCGTAGAATTGGAATGATAGAGCTAGCGATTCGATGCAATTTTGGAGCATCATATGTGTGGCATGAAATTCGCTGACTAATCTGTTAGAATAACCAAGTGAAGCAAGCCACAAGTGAGCTAATGAGAGTGAACAGGACATAGTCCAGTGCAGTTGCTATTGTGTTGTGTAAACTAATGAGTGTACTATACCTATAGTCCAGTTCAGTTGCTGAAGAGCAACCAACAGGACTTGCTACCTATGGGCGAGTCTATGTAAACAAGTGTAAACACTGCCTAAGTAAGTAAGGAATTCACATCACATGCTAAGTGAGAGTCCAATGGAGGAACACATCATAACACAAATAATTCACACCATAAGGTGCTCAATCACCACAACTAACATAATCTGGGGGAGTTCTTCAGATTTTCCTCTTTTTTCCCATGTTACTTCTTCCAATGGATACCCCTTTCCATTTTACTTTGTATTGTAGTTGCTGTTGCCACATTCTGCTGCTTATCATTTCTTCTACTTGATACTCTTCTTCGGATTGGACTATATCTGGGGGTGGACGTATGGGGGTGATTCAAGGTGTTAGTGCGGAAGTTTTGTGGGGTGTGAGTAATCCCACATGAAATACCAGATGAATCTGATATGATTGTGGTAATTTGATTCAGTAGTTTACTCGCCTATTCATTTGAGTATTTCAAAGGGGCCAAGACGGCAATTCAACAACTTCTGACTTGCGCGCCATTGTTTGATATTTTTAGTGTCTAGCCACACCTTCTGTCCAACTTCCAATATAGGTATGTCTTTTGCTCCATGATCATAGAAACGCCTCATGCAATCATTTGCCATTTCTAGCGTTGCTTTGGCTTCTTTCTGCACTTCTTTCATCTCAGCTACTCTCTCATCGGCTTGAGGAACAGTATTAGAGGAATTAGGAGCAATGATGAATTCGGGGTTATAGTGTCAGAGTCGGTGGTGGTGATGGTGGTGGTTCGAGAGCAAGTGCGCAGGGTTTAGGGTTTCAGGCATGGGAATTTTATCTTCATGGAGTGGCGCAGCTGCGCGGGACTTAGTGAAAAAAGTTGAAAGACTACACTGTGAAAAATATATAAGAAAAAACTCGAAGAAATAGTGATATTTTCGCCGTGAAAATTTCAGAAGGAAAAACAACAACTTTTCACTCATGATTATTTGACTTTATATATCAGATGGCGAATGAATGGTGGATATAAGCCCTGAGATTCTCGCCTCAGATTATCGTCAAATTCTCTTATAATCCCACATTCTCGCCAGTAACTATTTTGCATCAAAGTCTGGTGATTGCCTCTTGTTTTACTTGATCTTGAAAGTCCCTCTCATCAAATCAGCCTGTCATATACCTGATCTGACTGCTCCGATACTGATATCCACTCCACTTTCCAACCCCTCCGCCCCATTCATCCTCCGCTCCGTCCAATCACAAGTCCACATTCCGCCCTACACTTCCGCTCAACCGGTCCCCTTCCATAACCTCTCCATTCAACTGGAGCTCTTTCCCCTTTTACATTTATGCCTTCCCTATTGGTACATAGACTCTTACTTCCGGATGACCAGTAATTCCTATTACTGCTCGATCGCTGATCCGACGTGTACATATTGATATCCGCCCCGACTTATGTCTTTGCCTATGTAAAATACTTACAAACTATATCCTTGGTACATAGCTTTACTGCATAGTTATCCTGATCACTGCCTCATACATAGTAGTATATAACATATCATGTACTTAGATACTTTTCCTTAGTCTTAATATTACTTGTCTTCTCGCAGTTACCTCTTGTGGGAATTCTCGGTAGGACCTTGCCTCCTTTGGATTGTCATTCATCTGGACACAGCCCTACTTTTTCTCCTTCATATCCCATATGCCCTTCCTAGATGCTTACTTGACCTTGGTGCTGTGAATGTTCCAGTACTCCTGTGCATAATCTTGGATTGCACAATCAGAGCTGAACTTGCCCATCTGTTCCAAATTGTGGATTCCCTTGTTACAATTCTTATTGAAAATGATAAATCCATACCTTTGCAGTGGTTCTGATACTCTTCTTAACCCACTCTGTTCGGTCATTATAGGCTTCATCCACCATATGAAGAACCTTGATATCTGAAAAGGGTTCATCAGGGACACTATTGCCGCACCACAAGTTGCTCACAGGAGTCAAAATCTTGAGTAATAAGATAATAGTCTCCCTGAAGAATTGTGTTGAGCAGGCTGTTCAAAAAAAAATAAGTGAACTTCATGATACACTTGCTGGAGCATGACTTATGGCTCGTACACGCCCCTGTCACCAAACAACCCAGAGGAGATCTCATTAAGAACTTGTGCAAGAGCAGGAGACTTCTGTTTGACAGGAACAGGCTGGTATATGTGTTGATAATGAAGGTCTTCCACTGCAGGTGTCAAATGTCCAAAGAATACATAAATGTGAGAAGTCATTCATTCCACATCCAACTACTGCTCCACTCCTTCCCTAGTGTTTTCCATCGCATTCTACACCCCAGGAAACCCTTATTCTTGTGTCTGAGCACCATTTGAACTGTTGGAACATTCATTGTGTTGCTTTTGATTAGTTGAACCAAGTGGCTTTGTTGAAAACCCCCTATTGCTCACCCCCACCCCTGTTGCTCCCTGTCCTGTCTATTGCCTTCCTGACCGTCCTGCATCACCCTAGACTCCAGACAATGTGATATCAGGAGGAAGAAGGCAAAGAAGCGCTCCAGGAAGACTCACGGTGCATCAGAGCCAACTGCATTGCCCACTCCCACTTCCTTTCATAGTCCTATCAACTCTACTATCATCAAGTTTGCTGGCACTGCTTGTCTTCGCTTTTTTGACCCTTCCAGCACTATCTGTCCACTCCAAGTTGATGCCACTGTCGACTGGAATGCAGACACAGGTGTCAATTGCATCCCTATCAAGCTAGCTGAGAATGTATTTGTCTATTCTGCTGGTGTTGGCACAGTGGTCTTTAACCCAGTCATTGATGGCAAGAGTGTTAGACCTGTCGAGTTTTCAAGAGTCTTGCATGTCCCTGACCTTCGCAACAACCTGCTCTCTGTCCTCTACCTCACTCACCACAGTGGCTTCCATGTCACCATTGACTCCACCAAGATGTCTTTTCAGTGTCCTGCAGGCACCATGTTGTATGTTACACTCATCAGCAGCAGCAATGCAGCATTCTAAAGATGGCTCCACAGGGTACTATATCCTGCCAACCATGATGAAAAGCCTAGTCTAAGTGCCAACAATTCTATGGAACTCTGCTCTGGAGATGAGAGATTAATTGCACTTGATGGTGGGCTACTATATTCATTCTTTGGACTGTACTGGAGCTGACCCACCAAAACAGAGCTTTTGGAAGGTACTGTCCTCTGTTGGACTGTGATTTGACATTGGGTGGATCTGAATGTAGTATACCCTTTCAAACCTATCTCCCCGCTCAGGTTGACCCATTTAATTGTGAGAATAACTAATTGAGCTAATGAGAGTGAACAGGACTATGGTCCAGTGTCAGTTGCTATTATGTTGTGTAAACTAATAAGTGTACTATACCTATAGTCCAGTGTCAGTTGCTACAGAGCAACCAACACAGGACTTGCTACTTATGGGCAAGTCTATGTAAACAAGCGCAAACACTACCTAAGTAAGTAAGGAATTCACATCACATGCTAAGTGAGAGTCCAATAGAGTGATCAACATCATAACACAAGAAACTCGCACCATAAGGTGTTCAATCACCACAAATAACATCACAGTCCAGTGACATCAGCAGTGGTCCTACCCTCCACACATGGTGAAGAGATGAGCCCAGCCAGCAGCATGCTGGCTTCGTTACTTTCCAGGCATCAAGCAGATATTTCCGACTTACAAGTTAATGAAGCAGCAGTTGTACCATTTTTTCTGCAGGTGGGTGTGATGAAACATATCCAGCCCTATCAGTCCAAAGAGTTGCATGAGCTTGTGGATTTGCCCAGGCAATCTGATACTTCACTCTGGAGACTCAAGTGCACGGTGACAAAGCACTTCCTGGGGCTCTAACTCTGTGGTGCACCAGTTATTGGTGGCCCCTCGACCATAAGTATTTCAAGCCTTCCCCACCTAACGTAGCTAATGGGTCTGATAGAGGTGAAAAAGGAACCTCAGAAAGATTCAATGTGCCTGCTAGAATGAAGACCTGCATTTCATATGCTTTGGAGGAAGTTCAACCAATATCAATCATTCTCAGATCTATATCAGATTGATATGCAATAGCTGGATCTGTCCCACCTCTGCAGCCATCATCCTCTAAGTATTGGCTTACCTTAAATGAAGAACAGCTGAAGGCTGGCCTCTCACTCATGGATCTCCTGCAGAATGTGCTGGTGGATGATGCAAGCCTACAGGAAAACATTTCATCCCTGCTCAATGCTGTTTACATACCCAGGAACACCCTTCAAATGTTTGCCAACAGCTATGTCAACCCAACCATAGCCTATATATGCTTGCGGTCAGTCCACCCAGATGGAGGATTTGAGTCTCCTACCTTGCTTACATTGTAGCATGTCAAGACCCAATTTGGGATCCGCCTGCATGTCCTGGGGTTCATTAACCAGGAGTACCAAGCCTTTGTGGCAAAAAACAATTTCATCCAGAAGAATGATGCTATCAAAAATGGGAGTAAGGTGCAGGTGCAAAGGAAGCAGAATGGTGGTGTGCTCTGACAATGAACTTGTGCTTGCTCTCCATTATCTGTCTGTCCTCTGGCCAGTTTGTGTTTGAAAACTGACCATGTGTGCTACTGTCCAACAGACAACTGAAGTCGGCATCATCATGGTCACCACCCTCTCTAGTTCGATGGCATCTGCCATGAATACCCCCACCTTCTTCAGTGCCCAGCCACCCTCCTACTTGGGAGATGTTGCCCACCAGCATGAGCTCCCCCTCTGGTGGCTGCATTATGAACTTCAAGTTGGAGGTGAGCTTGCTGTTAGTTGTGGTGATTGAGCACCTTATGGTGCGAGTTATTTGCCTTATATTATAACCTATTGCTCCAGACTTGTCTGCATTGCCAGACTTGACTTACATACCTTATTAAGCTGTGTTTACATTTGTTTACATATCTTCGACTGTAGGTAGTGAGTCTAGTGGTCAGGTGTTCCTCAGCAACTGACACTGGACTCTAGTCCTGTTAACTCTCATTAGCTCACTTGTGCCTTGGTCTTTCAGTGATTCTAATAGGTTATGAGCCCTGCGCTTTAAGGAATGCTGAACTAGTCTGTATGACTATGGTTCGCTCCCTGGGCGAGGAATACAACCATTTTGCGTCCTCCCTCATGCTACTCAAGTCCTTGGACAAGGAGGAGCTCAAGTCAGCCTTCCTAGCAGAGGAATTGCAGCGCAAGTTTCATCCTGAAGGCCCTACTGGCGACTCAGCCCTATTCACATCCTCAGGAGAATGTAGATGTGGGACTAACATTACCTGCTACTTCTGTGAGAAGGCTGGCCATTGCACTCACAAGTGTAACGCTCTGAAGCGTGCCAAAGACAATGCAAAGTCTGGCAATGGTCAAGGACCGCTCAAAATGCCCAGAACGTCACAGAGTTCGCTGGAAATGCAAGTCTTCGCTCTTTTGACCCTTCCCATCCCCTATGTCCTCTCCAAGTCAATGCGAAGGCTGACTGGAATGCAGACACAGGTGCCACTTCTCATATGACCTGTTAGTTGTGGTGATTGAGCACCTTATGGTGCTAGTTATTTGTGTTATGATGTTGCTTCCTCTATTGGACTCTCACTTAGCATGTGATGTGAATTCCTTACTTACTTAGGCAGTGTTTACACTTGTTTACATAGACTCGCCCATAGGTAGCAAGTCCTGTGTTGGTTGCTCTTCAGCAACTGACACTGGACTATAGGTATAGTGCACTCATTAGTTTACACAACACAATAGCAACTGACACTGGACTATAGTCCTGTTCACTCTCATTAGCTCACTTGTGGCTTGGTTCACTTGGTTATTCTAACAGGTTATGAGCCCTGCGCTTTAAGGACCTCAAGTCATTCATTCCTCATCCAACTGCTGCTCCACTCCTTCCCTAGTGTATTCCATCACATTCTACGCCCCAGGAAACCCTTATCTTTGTGTCTGAGCACCATTTGGACTGTTGGAACACCCATTGTGTTGCTTTTGAGTAGTTCAACCAAGTGGCTTTGTTGAAATTTTCCATAGCCCCTTTTGGTCATCTACCCCCTGTCCCTCACTCCCACCTCTGTCGCTCCCTGTCCTGTCCATTGCTTTCCTGAACGTCCTGCATCATCCTAGACCGTCCTACTTGCCACCCAATCCCTTGCTATGTCACCCATGACTATCACTCAACTCAGCTCTTCCAACTATCTTATCTGGAGATCAGAGATGGAGTCTTACCTGCGCTCCAAGGGCTTGTGGCTGCTTGTCAGTGGCTCTGAGAAGCGTCCTGCAGACTCACAGCCTGAGGCACAGGCTGTATGGGACCTTAAGGCTGACCAAGCTGCTGGGGAACTCTATCTGGCTTGCCCATTGGAGATGAGGTCGCAGATTGATGCTATTGAAGATCATCCTGTGCTTATCTGGTCTACCCTTGCCTCCCTGTACTCTAGACAGCGTCGTAGCAGGAGGAAGAAGACCAAGAAGCTCTCCAGGAAGACTCAGAGTCTCACAGACCCCACTGCATCGCCCTCTCCCACTTCCTTTCCTATTCCTATCAACTCTGCTATCATTGAGTTTGCTGGCACTGCTTGTCTTCGCTCTTTTGACCCTTCAAGCACCATCTGTCCCCTTCAACTTGATGCTACTGTCGACTGGAATGCAGACACAGGTGCCACATCCCACATGACCCCTCATCGTCACTGGCTTCGCAATTACACTCCCAATCGCATCCCTATCAAGCTAGCTGACAACACCTTTGTCTACTCTGCTGGTGTTGGCACTGTGGTCTTTAACCCAGTCATTGATGGCAAGAGCGTTAGACCTGTCGAGTTTTCAAGAGTCTTGCATGTCCCTGACCTTCGCAACAACCTGCTCTCTGTCCTCTACCTCACTCGCCATAGTGGCTTCCATGTCACCATTGACTCCACCAAGATGTCATTTCAGCGTCCTGCAGGCACCACATTGTTGGTTGCACCCATCAGCAGCAGCAATGCAGCATTCTTAGATGGCTCCACTATCCCTCTCTCTGAATATGCCTCTGCAGCGACCACTCTACCTCTGGACTTGGACCTATGGCACAGGAGACTCGCCCACCATCACTTAGCAGGTGTCAAGAAGCTTATTGATCATGACATGGTCACTGGACTCAAGCTAGATTCAAAGAAAATGCCAGATCCCATCTGTGAGCCATGCTTAGCTGGCAAGATGCATGCAAACCCATTCCCCTCATCTCAATGGCGTGCTACTCGACCTCTGGAGCTTGTCCACACCGATGTCCATAAGGTCCCCTACCCCAGCTTCTCTGGCTATCGCTATTGGGTCACATTCATCGACGACTTCTCTCGATTTCGCTTTGTGCTCCCTATTAAAGCTAAGTCTGATGTCTTTGAGGCTTTCAAGACATTCAAGGCCTATGCTGAGAACCAGTCAGAGCGAAAGCTAAAGATCCTCAGAGATGACAAGGGAGGGGAGTACATGAGCAACGCCTTCATTGAATTCACCACCCAGTGCGGCATTGAGAGGCAGCACACTGTTCGTGCTAGACCACAGCAGAATGGGGTTGCTGAGAGAGCTAACAGAGTCCTCTCTGAGCGACTCACTGCTATGCTGGACGAGTCTGGGCTTCCCAAGGCCTTCTGAGGCGAATGCCTTGCTGCTCTGGTCCATGTCTGGAACAGATGCCCTACCGAAGCTGTAGACAGCGCTACACCCTATGAGCTGTGGCATGGTAATAAGCCTGATGTCTCGCATCTTCGAGTTTGGGGATGCACTGCCTATGTGCACGTCCAGAGGGACAAGAGAGATGGACTTGGCTCCCACATGGAAAAGTGCGTCTTCATTGGCTACCCTGCTGGCTACAAGGGCTGGAAGTTCTACAACCCCACCTCCAAGAAGACAATCATCTGTGAAAGGGCTGACTTTGATGAAAGATACTTCCCTCTGTCCAAGCGCCCATCCAGTCCATCCATTCCAGCTCCCATCGCTCCAGCACATCCTGTCGACGCTCCCCATCCTCCCAGACGGTCGAAGACTACCTCTGAGCCCCCAGCAGCGCCCTCCTATTACTATCCTCCTCATTCAGATGACTCTGACTCTGACTATGATGAGTCCAGTTCTGATGAGTCACTGGATCAAGGGGGAGATGTGGTGCCTCCAGCAGTTCCTGATGTCCCTCCTGTCATCCCTGTTCCTGATCCAGTCACTCCTCCTCCTGCAGCTCGTCCCAATCCACCTCCTAGACCACCATCTCCCATAGGCATTGGTGCCAGACTCCCTCGACGCAACAGGCAACCTCCCAGAGACTGGTGGAAGCTCTATGGGACTTGGAAACTCGTACCTAGACCAGCTGGAATCAAGGTCATTGGCTCCAAGTGGATATTCAAGGTGAAGCGCAATGCTGATGGCTCTATTGAGCGCTACAAGGGCAGACTCGTTGCCAAGGGCTACAACCAGCGTCCTGGCTTTGACTACGTCGAAATATTTGCTCCAACTGTGCGTATGCCCACCATTCGTGTTGTCCTTGCTATGGCTGCCATCCATGACCTCCACCTTCGCTCCATCGACATCTAACATGCCTATCTCAATGGGGAGATGGACTGTGACGTCTACATGGAACAACCTGAAGGTTTTGCTGAAGGTGATCCAAAGAAGATGGTCTGCCTTCTTCAGAAGAGCATCTATGGAACCAAGCAAGGTGGCAATCGCTGGAACAAGAAAATGCGCTCTGTTCTGGAGTCTATTGGATTCACCCAGTCCTACTCTGATGCCAGCATCTATATCTATGTCAAGGGTGAAGTCAGGATCATCTTGCCTGTCTTTGTTGATGACATGACCTTTGCATCGAAGTCCGCTTCTGCAATTGATCAGATCATCAAGGACTTGTCTCAGCACTTCAAGCTTCGAGACTTGGGCCCTACCACCCAGCTTCTAGGCATCAAGATTGACAGGGATCGCTCCAAGCACTCCATCACCATCTCCCAGCGCCAGTACTGCCTTGACATCCTTGATCGCTTCAGCATGGCTGATTGCAAGCCTGTCTCCACTCCCATGCAGCCCAATCTTCGACTCACTCGCGCTCAGTGTCCCCAGACTGCTGATGAGACTCAGGACATGCGATCCACTCCTTACCTTGAAGCTGTGGGTGCTCTGATGTATCTTGCCACCACCACCAGACCAGACATTGCCTACGCTGTTGGCTGTTTAGCTCGATTCAACTCCAACCCTGGCCCTGCCCATTGGCAAGCTGTCAAGCACCTGCTTCACTATCTGAAGGGCACTGCAGACTACTCCATCACCTATGCTCCTGATCCCAATTCCAGTGAACTCTTTTCCACATTCTCTGATGCTGATCATGGTGGATGCAAAGACACTGGTCGCTCCACTGGTGGCTACCTGGTCAAGATTGGCCTTGGTGCTGTCTCCTGGTCGTCAAAGCTTCAAAGCATTGTGGCCTTGTCCACCACTGAAGCTGAGTACATGGCTGCAGTTGAGGCAGGCAAGGAGATCCGCTGGATGCGAAATCTCTTGTTTGAGATGGGCTTCCCTGCCACTGCACCCTCTGTCCTTAGGATCGACAACCAGAGCGCCATCTCTGTGGCCAAGCACCCAGAGCACCATGGTCGGATGAAGCAGCTTGATCTCAGCTGGTATTGGCTTCGAGATGTGGTGCACAAGAAGATTATTGCACCAGTGTTTGTGCCCACTGCTGACCAGCCAGCTGACATCCTGACCAAGGCATTGGCTCGACCCAAGGTGCAGTTGTTCTGCCAGATGATGGGACTGAGTAGCTTGAGGGGGAGCTGAGATGTGTAGAGGTGCACAATCAGGGGGGAGTGTTAGTTGTGGTGATTGAGCACCTTATGGTGCGAGTTATTTGTGTTATGATGTTGCTTCCTCTATTGGACTCTCACTTAGCATGTGATGTGAATTCCTTACTTACTTAGGCAGTGTTTACACTTGTTTACATAGACTCGCCCATAGGTAGCAAGTCCTGTGTTGGTTGCTCTTCAGCAACTGACACTGGACTATAGGTATAGTACACTCATTAGTTTACACAACACAATAGCAACTGACACTGGACTATAGTCCTGTTCACTCTCATTAGCTCACTTGTGGCTTGCTTCACTTGGTTATTCTAACACTTACTTAGGTAGTGTTTACACTTGTTTACATAGACTCGCCCATAGTGTTAAGACCGTGCTCAGGGGTAAAGCAGATTCTGAGGGGCTTGGCTTCAGCTTGTACGCTGCGCCCCTTACCCGAGTACGTGCCCCTAATTTCGGAATGTAGTCTGACACGAATTCTATGGGTTCCGACAGGAAATCGGAATGGGGGTCCTCTGAAGGAGGACCGACGGACTACTAGGTGAGTGCGGGAAAGTCGGGCAGGGGTTGTTCCACCCAACAGGAGGGAGGTGGGAGACTACTGCCGTCAGAACCAACAGTAGAAGCGGAGCGGAAGGAACTGCTTGGACAAAGTCTGAAGCAGAGCAGAATGGAGGGGACAGATGCAAGAGTGCAGGGTCTAGTTCC